TAGCTTCTAATTTATTAGAACCAGCCCATGAATATGAAACAACTTTTTCCCGGGACATATGTGTGTTGTCCCTCCCAGCCTCCAAGTCTCAGTTCTGCTCATCATTTTCTTTGATGCCATGTTATTCAGCAAGTATTCCGATTACATTTGTGGCCCAGGACAATTTAAAAATCAAATTTAGTCCTGGAAAGTTTGGAACACACCTGGTTGATAGATTCATTTATAGCTTCTAAAAGCCCTCATTTATGAGTCGATCTTGAACATGCATAGAATAACGCTTGACTTTCTAATAATTTTATGCCATATATATAATACTTATTTGACTGTTGTAGTATTCTTATTTAGGTAATGAGAATTCAAATCAGTGAAAAGTCAAGTAATTGTCATAGTTTTACATTTTGATATTTCAAAATTCCAATATATTCTAACTTAACTTTTTTATATGGTTATATTTAGCACCATGCCATTTGCCCAGTAGGTATTAGATTTATATAGGATTTTATAGATAGGCCTTCAGCATGCTTTATTTAATTTGGAAGCCACCAGAGTTTAGAGCTCAAAATGCAGATTTGCAAAAATTCTTGTAGTTAAAAAGGTATTTGTAAATAATTGTACACTCATTGGTGGAAATTCTAAAGATGCTATACTTAGGGATGTAGTATATATCATCAAAAGTTAAGATTCATCACATTTTTTGTGGCATGTGTATTCTCTTTTCCTGTGTAAGGATAAAGCATTTCAGTAAAATCACCCTTTTCCTGCCTCTTCCTCACTAATTCTAGAAACGCATTAAGGTTTGAAGGTAGGATTCATGTTTATTAATGTTATAAATACAGACAATCGTGGATGCTATCGCATTGCTTATCTGCTGATGCATTGATGCATCATCCTAAAGTTAAAATTTCCAGAAAGAGTCCTATTCAGTCGTTTATACAGGGCCTCATTGTGGGTTGGCGACATTCGAATGGCAGCTCTGCAGTCGAGGGAAGTTTGCAGAGCCTGTTACTGGAAAGAACATATGACTTCGGATTGAATGGCGAAGGGGGCAAAACAAATGGCACTTTTGTGCATGCGTCGTACTTGCCCCGGGGACTTTGCCCTTCTCTATGATGCCGTTTCTCTTTTGTGTCCAGGAAATAAACACGATGATGGTACCCAGAGCGATTCCGAAAACGCTGGGGCGCACAGGCGCTGTAGCAAACGGGCCACGCTGGAGGAGCACCTAAGGCGCCACCATTCGGAACAGAAGAAGCTGCAGAAGGCCCTGGCCGCGGACAAGCACCAGGACCCGGCAGTCGTAAGTCCCACCGCCTGTATGATTACATTTTCTGATGGAGACAGTCCCAGCAAGAGAAGGTCTTGTTCCCTCACTCAGAGTGCGGGAGTCTCATGTGAGGACACGACTTACTCCGCGCCACTCGCAAAACTTGCAAAACCCCAATCTCCAGCAGCAGATGCCAAAGTGGTTTCTTTGTCTTTACAGACTAGCTCTGCGCACCGCAGAGGGGGGCATGGTGTTCCACATGGGAAATTGTTAAAGCAGAACTCAGAGGAGCCCGCCGTGCCAGTCCCCTTCCTACCAGCTGCCTTGTTAAGAAGTTCAGGGAGCCTTGGGCACAGACCGAGCCAGGAGATGGATAAAATGTTAAAAAACCAAGCTCCCTCTGCTACCTCTGAAAAGGATAATGATGATGACCAAAGTGACAAGGGTACTTATACCATTGAGTTAGAGAATCCCAACAGTGAGGAAGTGGAAGCAAGAAAAATGATTGACAAGGTAAATAACCGAAACGTGGGGCGATGCTAGTTTTGGGGGGTGGATTTGACTGCGGAAATTACTGCAGAGTCAGCGTGAGACGGTCTCATGCAGGCAGTGATGTTGGGACCCTAGGATTTGTTAGGGAAACTGTGAGACTAGCAATAAGGCCAAATGCTTTGTGATTTTATTCTGCTGATGTTCTGAATTTGCCTGAGTTTCATAGGTAAGGTCCTTATACATTTAAACTGTCAGGACCTATTACAGTTTTTACATTTAAGATAGGGTTTTTAATTAGTATACTTTGGCCATTCTCATTTTGCATACATTTAAAAACTAAAAGAAAAAACACTATAAAAAACCAGATTGTTGTGACT